ATTACTAATATATATATATATATATATAAATTTAATAGGAAATCCATAAAATTTTTGCAGGGATATGATATTTACACCAATTGAACAAAGGAGAAAATCCAAATTCCCAGGAAAAATTAGAAGGAATAATAAGGAATGGCATGATGAAATGTGCAATATCCCAGTCAACGAGCAGAATATCCCAGTCCAAATAGTGCAAAGTCAAGAGCTGCAATGAAACATTAGCTCAATGCCTTGTATTTTTAAAAGACAAAGCAGAAAGTGCACATATCAGTTGGTTTGTAAGTCCATCAAGTAATGCATACGGTTATCTCACAACTGTCAAATGTGTTGCATTTACTATTTACTATTACTATCAGTATCAGGGTAGTATTACAGTCACATATTGTTGCCCGAAATGACAAAGGATTAAATAATGACGAACTAAATTCTGGCTCAACCATCAATGGCTGGCAATTTTCAAGAAGCTCAACAGCTATAGACCCTCGACAGGAACGGTGACCTATATATGCCCACTTTCCATGTGAATGATAATAAAGTCAAGCAACAAGAAGCTTTTGTTTTGACACAATTATGGTTAGTTACTTGTAGTACCATCCGTGAATATCGGCAATACAATATGGGCATCCTGAATCACTGACAATCAAGAAATATCCGTTGTAGCACGCGAGGCCCGATCAGAAGCAATAGCTAACTTGGTGTTCATTATGTCTCTCTCTCTATGAACACCAATTGAGAGGAAGTGACTAGTATTCCATCTTAAGTAGCATGTACTATGCGAAAAGTTCACTAACATGACTCTGATGTTCTACCTCCACGGAACTACACCCCAAGTCCTTAGTGAGGTGTCTATCCTTGATCACCCCTCTTACTTTCTCAACATCGCTCCATCTCCCCATGGCCGCATACAAATTTGACAAATGGACATAATAGGCAGTGTTCTCAGGCTCCATTTGAAGGAGCTTTGTAGCCGCCAGCAGGCCCAACTCCAAGGCACCCTGCGACTTACAAGCAGCCAACAAAGATCCCCACATAGTTTTGGTTGGCTCAAAAGGCATACTCCCCATGAATTCAACAGCCTCTTTCAAATGGCCAGAACGCGCCAACACATCAACCATACAAGCATAGTGCTTGACATTAGGAAGAAACCCATAGCTCCCATCAAGCAACAAACGAAAAACCTCTCTACCCTGGTCCACCAAACCCGCGTGACTACACGCAGATAACACCGCCAACAAAGTCACTTCATCAGGCCTAACCCCGTCACTCTCCATTCTCTTAAACCACCAAATGGCCTCGTGTCCACTCTTGGCCAGAGCCAAGCCTTTAATAACCGCATTCCAAGTAAACACATTCTTATCCTTCATCCTCCAAAACACACCCAACCCCTCCTCCACTCTCCCACACTTGACATACATGTCAATCAACGCCGTCCCCAACACCACATCCACTTCCCACCCGTCCCTCTTGACGGCACCGTGTATCCACTCCCCCATTTCGATGTTACCAGAGTGAGCACAGGCGTCCAACGCGTTTATCATGGTCACCCTATTAGGCGCGAAACCCGCGTACTGCATTTGTTGGAAGACGAGAAGGGAACGAGTATGGTCCCCAACGTTGTTGTAGGCGGCGATGAGGACGGTCCAGGATACGACGTCGTTGTGGGGCATTTCGTCGAACAGGCGACGGCAGAGGGAGACGTGGCGGGAGGAGGCGTAGAGGTGGAGGAGGGAGTTGTGGACGAAGAGGTCGCGGTGGTGGCCGAGGGTGAGGACGTGGGTGTGGAGGCATTGGGCGTGGGTGACGTGGCGGGTGTGGGAGAGGGAGTTGAAGAGGGGAGGGAAGGTGAAGTTGTTGGGGAGGAGGCAGCTTCGGCGCATGTGGGAGTATATTAAGAGAGGGGTTAGGGTTTGGCATTGGGATAAGGCTTTGATGAGGGTGTTGAAGATGAAAATGTGGGGGGTCGGTGGGAGGGTGGTGAAGAGGAGAAGGGCGGAGCTGAGAAGGCCGTGGGATTGGCACGCGCCGATGAAGCGGTGGCCGATTCTCGTGTTGCAGTGGAGGCCGTGGCGGATCAGTTGCGCTTCAATCTGCCGGAGCTGAATCGAACTACGGCATTTCTCCAGCACAAGAACCGCAACGCTCTCCGTCAAACCACAACTCGCCATACCTTACGTTATACGGGAATCAAACACCATTATCCATCTTCTAATATATTCCATTCTTCTTTCTAAACATCACACCTCCTCATTTGTTTGAATGATTTTGCTATGTCTCTATTCAATATTCTCAATTTTGATTCATAACTTAACACAACATATAATTTTTTATGTTGTCATGTTTTAATACAACATATAATTAAAAAGATAATTATATAATCTTTGACTAAATAGAGGATTTGAAGACTGAAGAGACAAATCATTATTAGATTAAATTAAATAGTAGTTGCAACATATATAAAACAAGTGCTAGTGAATTAATGTGTGAGTGAGGGCCGAGGGCCGAGGGCCGAGGGGTGGTAAAATCTTTATAAACGAAAATAATTTTGTTCGTTTTTGAGTGATTAAATATTTTTTAAGTCTTTATTTATTTTATTAAATTTAATAATGATTAGTAATTATTAAAATATTTTCATCCAAAATTTTCCTTTTATTTTGATATATTTATTTATTTTAGTTATTTTTAATAGAAATTTATTTTATTATAATATTTATATAAAAAAAATATGCTTAGGAGGAAATTATTTTTATCCAAATTTATCGTAGAAAATTATTGGAGGGAATTTATTTTTCAATTCAACTAAGTCTTATTTATTTTTATAATTTTAAATATATGGTGAAAGAAACAATTTTTAACATAAACATATTAATGTATTATTTATATCAAATCAAAAGCATTGCATCAAAAACAAGTTCAGAAATAGGTAGTATTTAAGTAAAAAAAAAAAACATAAAATTTAAATTTAATTATTAATAATTATATGATTTTAAGCTAAAGAATTATGAACAACTTTTTTAATCACTTCAATAACATCCGTATCAATAACATTGTGTGAATTCAATGATTATATTTTTTTTTTTGCCTCTATGCAAAACTATTAATAACATCGATCTTTATGCATTTTTTTCATCTATTTCATGCTGAAAATTTTAAACATTAATAAATTTTTTAGGCTAAATTATTCATTTGATTTCTTTATTTATTTATTTTTATTTTTATTTTATCCCATTATTATTAAATAAGATAAATTAATCTCAAATTTATTTAATTTATGTCAATGTTTAATTTAATCTTTAATTTTTTTTAATAATTTAATCATCAAATAATTTGATATTGTCATTAAATATATATAACAATATTTGTCAGATATATGTATTTAATAAAGATAATGTTAAAAAATACACATCAAATTCGTTTTCGTTATTATATTTATCCATTGATCCTGAAAAAATAATATACAAAATAACAAATCCATTATTATAGCCTTGGAATTAAGTGAAAAGAATGCGCATCCGGGGAATCGAACCCCGGTCAGTACCGTGGGAGGGTACTATGATACCACTACACCAGATGCGCTTGTTTGAAGCGTGACCACACGCAAAATAGATATTGTAGTGTAGGCACAAGACTTGCCACCTACCGCAGAAACACACTCAAGAGTCAAGACTTGCCACCTAACACAGAAACAAAGAGCGAGAGTCAGTTATTATATGTTCGCAATTGAGTGTGTAGTAAGTAGTACTTGTAAGAACTAAGAAGTGAGGCGAAAGTGTGAAGCTCAACAACCGAAATCAAATCGAGGGAATGAGGATCGTTGGACTCACGGGTGGAATAGCGTCAGGGAAGAGCACCGTGTCGAATCACTTCAAATCGCACGGCGTTCCCGTTGTCGACGCCGACATTGTTGCTCGCGTAAGTTCCTTCTCTCTCATTTCTCAATTCCGCTTAAACTATCTCAAAATTTAAGTAGGGATTTATCAGACGAAATTTAAACTTTTAGAAATTCGTATTGAAATTTTAATTGACCAAAAATATGAGATTTCAATTTCCGCCTGAAACCGGAGAATTCGTGTAAGTTTCCCGCTCGCTCACGCTGCTCTTGTCCTTGTTCAGTCGCTCTCTTCCTCTCCCGTTCTCTCCTCGGTTAGTTTCTCTTTGATTTGTTTCTGCGTTGTCGTTTTTTTTTCTTCCTTAATCTAGAGTTTTGTTTATGTGTTTTTTTATGGTTTATCTCTGATTTGTCTCTGCACTTCTTCTCGTCTCTGATTTATTCTCTAATCTAGGGTTTTTGTGTTTTTCTTGTTCATTTGTTTGGTATGTGCATACAATTGTGAGTTTGCTGAGTTTCTCTGAAAGGAAATTTTATACATATTATTTTCTTTATTGTAAGATAATGATTAGGAGCTTAAAAGGAAATTATTCATGATTTTAATTAGGAACAAAGGATCGAGCGTTTCACAAAATTTAACACCTAATACTGAGTCCAAATCACAAAAGAAATTCAAAGCAACTTGATTTTACCAATAGTTTCTTAGCGACAGGTTGAAAGTTGAGTGCCATGATTTTAGTTAGTTGCACTGTTGTTGGTGATAATTTGTTTGTGTTTGAGGGTACAAATGGGATCAAACTGCTGAAGGATTTGTACATACTAGACACTAGTTAGTTATTATTCTAATGATTTTATTGTGGGAAGGGGAATGTTATTGGCCTAATTTTTACACATTATAATATATATCTCCGAAATATGAATTTTGGATGTACACTCTATAATGCACAGTAATTGTTTCAATTGATGGTACTCATTGTTGATAAACTATTTTTACTTCAAATACATGAATTCCATGTCTATTCTGCTAGGACTTATTCACATAAGCTTTTATGCTAGTTATCTCTTGATCTTGCTGTGATGGTTGTGACTTGGGAGGGGTTCAGTTTATATTTTTGAATGTTGTTGCTTAGTAGTAGCAAGGAAATATGGTGATAAGGGTTCACGGATTACTTGAATAATCCAACCGAAGACAACTCCATCAAATCACTAAGTCAGAAAATTATGGTGATAAGCTATGATGCACTGATACGATACGGGTATCGGATACAACACGTATCCGATACGGCGATACGATTATTTTAAAATATATAGGATACGATACTTGTAAGATACGTGCCATCATATATATCAATATTCATATAATATAATAATTGTGTACTTGTAATAAACATTAAATATATAATTATTATTTTGCAAATCCAAATTAAAAACATATTTATTGTACATTACTAAAAATAAATAAATTATAAATCATTTCATCATAAATTACTTTTTATTATTTACAAATAGAAATAACATTACCAATTTCATTCCTTTTTTAAAATTATCTATATAGAAGATAATTTTCATTTACAGTTCATCAAGGACCAATATTTCTATGTTTCTATATTAAACATGTTTATATATCTTATTTAATTGTAATGGATATTTCATAATTTTTCAAAAATTTGAATACTTTATCAATACGTATCACCAATAAGTATTGGTGAAGTATCTGAGAGTATCGGAATTCAATAAAAATTTTATAATATTTTTAAAGGCTAGGATATTTCATTGACACGTATCCAAGAGTATTGGATACGGATACGTGAAGCAAATTGAAGTATCGGTGCTTCATAGGTGATAAGAGATCCGGAAACTGGAACATGGAACACTAAGTCAGTAGTGCCAATAGATAAGTATGATGTTTATAATGTTAGTGGTCCAAATGCTAATTTGTTGTTGGCCAGTCACCAATTTGCCAGTGTTTAGAAGGATTCAAGCAAAAATCACTAGAGTTGGAATGCAAAGAATTGGACACAAGGATTTGTGCCTAGTGACAAATATGGTTTTGTAATATTTAATGTGAAAATGTCTGATACTGCAAATGTTGTTATGAGGGCTTCAGTTTGTATTATTTAATGTCTTGCTTAGTGGTAGCAAGGAATTATGGTGATAAGGGGTTCAGTTTATATTTAACTGTGCTGTAAGTAAACAGGGAAGTGGGGAGGTGTTACTCAAATCTTTTTCTTGAACATAGATCATTACTCAATAAGGTTGCCTCTGAATTTGGAATGCAGTACTAGTATGATATCAAATTTATTTGATTACATATTAGGTTGGTGTAAATGTATGATAATATGATATGAACAAGATGCCTTCGTTAAAAAATTAAAATCAATCAAAAAGATAGATTTTAGATTTTTGTAGTAGTAGAATGTTGAATGTTCTGTTTTAAGATGTTAACCATTTAAGTAACATGATTAGTTTTTTGTTTGCATTCCAAGCAAAAAATGGTGGCAGCTCATAATTTTTGTTGCTTTCTTTTTTTACAGGAGATGGAGAAGGATTAAGTCAGAAGAACCTTTGATACATTTGGCTCTAGCATCATTTCAGTACTACAAGGCAACAACCTGTGATGTGCTGCGACTAGTTAGTGGCAATCACCACTTGAATAATTGGATATATACTTGCAAATAATTTACTGCTAGCAATTTTTTGATCTGTTTTAGAATTGAATTGACTGGCAAATTAAGCTCAATTGCAATCCATTTATTTAGATATAATATTTTGTATTATTTTTTTTTCTGGGCTAATTTTAGAGTATCTTGATTTATGTAACCTTAAGATCGATAATAAGAGTTTTTATATATTAGTAAAATTAGTCACCAATAATTGTATTATTTTTTATGTTAAATAAAATAAAAAATAATTATTTTATTTTGAATAAAAGATTTTATAATTATTATATTATTAAAATTTGAAGTTTTAAAAATAAAGAATTTATTTATTTAATCAAAAAATAAGAAATTTTAGAAATGAAGAAATCTAATTGATTTATCCTAATTCAAAAATTTGAAAATGAAAGATTTTAATTTCCTTATCCAAACACGAGGAATTTAAGAATGAAGAAATTTCAATTGAAGCAGTTGAACTTCTTAAAATTTAAAATCTTCCAAAATTTTAAAATCCTCTATTCAAACACGACCACACTAATTAATGCAATTTGCAGCAAGTCTTAACAAAAGGAAGTGCTGGATGGAAGAAAGTCGTCGCTGCTTTCGGAGATGAAATCCTCCTCGACAATGGAGAAGTCAACAGAATCAGGCTCGGCCAAATCGTCTTCTCTGACCCTGACAAGCGTCAATTTCTCAATCGGTATTCTCAATTTTCCAATAACTCCATAGCATTTGCATTCTAACGAATCACTCTATTGAGTTTCGGTTACGGTGTCGTTTTAGGTTGCTTGCTCCTTACATATCGCGGGGAATGTTTTGGGAGGTTTTGAAGCTGTGGATGAAGGGTTATAAGGTCATTGTTCTTGACGTGCCTTTGTTGTTTGAGGCAAAGATGGATAGGTTCACGAAGCCTGTTATTGTGGTGTGGGTTGATCCCGAGACGCAGATTCGGCGGCTCTTGGTGAGAGACAGATCCAGTGAGGAGGATGCGCGAAATAGGGTTAATGCTCAGATGCCGTTGGATGTTAAGAAGGGTAAAGCTGATATAGTTATAGATAACACTGGTTCCTTGGATGACTTGACTCAACAGTTTCAGAAAGTTCTTGTTGAGGTCACTAGGCCATTGACATGGACTGAGTTTTGGCTTTCCAGGCAGGGAGTCTTCACTATTATCGCTTCTGTTACCTCTGGTGTTGTTTTGTTTGTGAAGGCATTTAGTAATCATGTCCACACTTCATAAATAGACACTTGTGTTCTACTCATTTGTTGATGTATTATTGATATTAATAAATTTTATTTCCTCTAAGGCCTGAATTCATGAGTTCATGAGTTCATTTATGTATCACTCTTTTAAAAATGCTGCTGTTCAAAGATGAATAAATTTTACTTTGCAACTCCATATTTTAAAATGACTGCTTGATAAGAAGCATGATATTTCTTATCATGTCTCACATTCTTTCTTTTTTATTGTTGTCAGTGGTTGGAAAATTACTTTAGCTGATTGGTTGTTAAATGCTTCTGAACATATATAGTGAGATGAGTTGTATCATCGTGTATATCCCTAACGATTAGCCTATTATCATGTATATAAGATAATCATGTAGGATATCTTGCTAGCTTCTGAAGAGTATGGTTTGGTTACCATACGGTTGGTTCGAAATAGAGATGGAGACTTGTTTGTGTTCTGCCTCTTTCAAGAGGTTCTGCTTCTGTTTAGTGGCCTTGAGAAGGGCATTTGGCATGCTTCTATCATTTGTTCTTTTTATCAATTTTTTCTTGTAGGATGAATATGGATAGACTTAGAAGTTTAAGACTAATTCCTATCGGTTGTCCTCTTCTCATTTTGGAGGTTTATTATTTTGTCAATCTGTAAATGTGTAAAGTTGTAACTTCTGGAGAGAGGAAGTTGTGGATTTTGCATTACTGCAATCATGCTCTACCAGTGGGTACTGCACTTTCTCCTTTTGTCCAATCTCCAATCTCTCTTTGCAGAAAGGAAAGTTAAAGAGAGTTAGACCAGAGTGAGCATTTCTTCTTAATACAAGGACATGCTCTTTCTGTTCCTGCAACTTTTTTATGTCTTTATTTTATTTTTTCCTGATATGAATCTTGACTTACATGCTGGTTGTCTGGTACAATGTCGGGATTAGCGGTAGAATAAGATTCTTTACTCATTTTGTTGTTGATAGAGACCAACTGACCAAGCAGAAAACATAAAAGGAGGGATGTACAGCAAGAATTTTTTTAAGTGGCAGGCAATTTACTGCAAATGGATCGTCAACTTTGAGGTGTAAAAGTACGCTTGTCGCGTAAAATACATTTTGCTGTTAGCCAAGTGAATGACAAATCATCTCAAACTCTTGATTGCATTACATATCTCTTTTTTACCCCCTAAAGAGATGCAGTGGGCGTGTAAATAAACATTATAGCTTCAAGTTAGAGATGGTGCAAGCTAGTTGCTGCCTTCATGCAGAATCTGACAGGTATTTTGGCATTATGATCAATTGATCATTAGCATATTCCTTGGTGATCATACTACTGCTAAACTAGCGCTATTACTTGTGCATTGCATGGGATTTGTTTTAATATAAACACGAAAGTGTTATAAATTTTCATATAAACTTCAATTTTAATTACTTAGATGTAGAAAGTTATAAATAGATACTTTATTGATTATTTAGATTTGGTTAGAATAGGAATATTGAATAAATCGTTGATCATGCCTCTATTTTATAGGTAGAATGCTAGAATCTTATATTAAAAGGGATAAGCGTACAAATCCTTACATATGTGTTAACGTGTGCCTCAGATGTAGCTCAGCATATTCTAATAAGTTGCTGATCTTTTTAAGTTTAACTAGTTTCCTGTTCAGAAATGGCTTTAGGGGACAACTTAGATTGTAGTCATAGAATAATTTTAAAGTTTTACGAAGTTTATTGCAAGGATCTATGTCAAGATTGTCGGGCATTTCACATGCGTAGCTCAGCAACTAATTACCAGAGCTATCGATAGGGATGTACGAGTCATTAGTTATTGATTACCTAGCCTAAGACACTTCTTCCTCAAAGGATTAGCTCATTATGAATATATGCTGTTTCCTACTTGCTTGATGGTTTTCTGTTTGTACTTTATGTGGGTATACGGCAGCATCATATTCGAGTCATCGCTCCGCATTGCACTTATTAGTTGTTTGATGCCAACTTAATAATGTTCTGTGCCTGTGGTTGCAGGCTTGAACAACCGAGGCAAAATCCAGATATAGCTACAATTTAGCTGGCCAATAGTGGTTAGATTTTATGCTCTGATTGGTCAGACGCTAGATAAAACAAAGTCAGTCTGGGAAGTCCAAACAAGGTGAAGATAAGAGAAGAATGGATTAAATTTGAAAGCGTCTTTCAAGATTATAGAAACTTAATGTCATGACACTTTCATTTTGAGTCTTACCAAGTATATTTCAATAAGACATTTGACTTGAAGTTTTAAGCCTTCTTTGGCCCGCGGAAATATTTTAAAGCTTTGTGGCCCAGTAAGTGGAGGTTAATTTGCACACTTCGTTACTGTGAGTGCTTCGTAACTTTGATAGGGATGACCACTTCCTTTTTCATTGGTCGTTAGATTGTAGATGAGATAGGAAATATTGATAATGGTAATCATGTCACTTTTCCAAAAGCCTGTCAAAACCATTGGCTAACATAAGTGGAAATTAACCTAGTGTCCATTATGATATCATGCTACATGTTGTATTGATATGGATGTTTTTGTTGTTATGTCGAATATTTGAGCTATATTATTTACCAAAAGACTGCGTAGCATCTAATATTCTATTTCTAATGATTGATGGTTTGAAGTGGGACTCCTACACTTAAGTGATAATCCATTGTATACTTTTTAGGGTGTGCATGGATGATGGAAAAGGAGGGAATGAAGGAGGTGGAATGAATGAGAAATGTATCCCATTGTTTAATTTATATAAATGAAGATGAGAACAAGTCTATTTCATTTCATTATTTATTCTTTCTTCCTCTTTGGTAGTGGATAAGATGGGATGAAACTGTTTAAATTATAAAACTGATATTTTGGCGTTATAAAAGTTTGTTCGAAAAATAATTGTAGGCCTTTTTATTTTCTTCTTTCTCTCCTCTTTTTCGCCTCTAATCTTTTATCATCTTCCTCCTCTTCTATCCTTTATAAATTTTTTCTTTCATTGTTTTTCAATTTAACAACTCACATTTAGCTTCTCTCTCTCTCTCTCTTTTTTTTTTCACTCCTTTTCACTTCGCATATCGGTTCTCCAATCGAAAATACGTTTCTTTCTTGCTTTTTCATTCTTGTTTTTCAATAGCAAATTGTTTCGTGCAAGTATAAGTTTTTTTCATGTTATGTCTTAGCATTGACATTAGTTGAGGTGTTTTGTGTTTGTACGTGGGTGGGGTTTTAAAATATTTATTTAATTTTGTCTCATCTGTTTTCCATATGATGTGGAATAGAGTATTCTTATCATTTTATTGTAAATTATTAAAATAATAGAATTACATTTTTAATTCATTTCAATTTATTCCACTATTATTTTTCAATCTATTTCATTCTATTCTTTACTATTTAATCCAAATATAACCTTTTTAATTTTTCTTAAGCCACCACACTATTTTCTATTTTTCAATCTACGACAAGCATGCATACATGAAGTAGCTTTTGGGTTGGGATTCTACTTTTAATTAGAGGTATTTTATCAATTGTAATGTGTAGTTGCTTTTCGCTCTGCCATGGGATATATCACTTTATTTAATTTATTTTTTTTTCCATTCCTTGCCTTTGAAGGAGTTTTGATTTTGGACGTACATACTTTACCATTCAATCTTTCTTAACATCGATGAGCCATGGGTCAAAAATAGCAAGGCACACACACCCTTGGCCTAAGGCATCTTATGGTATTGGTTGCTCTGGTTTTGCTTTAATTTCCTGTGTGGAATCTGGCACTGAGACCGGAGATTTATGCGTAATAAGTTTATACAAACTGTGAAGATTAAATTAATAAATAAACTAACACATTACCATTTAAATTATAATAACTTCTTAGCATAGGTATTTGGGCTATCACCAAATGAAAATGTCGATTGAAGAGACACATTTTCTGAAAGAATCAAATGACCAAAATGTTTGTAATTCACCTGAGTAGCCGGCGATGATTTTCATATTGAAAACAGTTCTTGGAGGCATTTGAATTATAATTTAGAATTATTGCCACAAATCACGTTAGTGGGTGGAGTCACAACCATCTGTTGCACAACAATTCTTTTGGTCTTTCACAACAAAGTGTGTGTGGGGACCACTATCCTGTATTAGATTAAAAGTGAAATAGGAAAAGAAATAAGAGGAGGAAAATATAAACGATAAGAATAAATGAAATGGAGTAGAAAATATTTGTTATAAACGATAATATAATTAAAATTTAACTTAAAAGAATTTATTTATTTATTTATTTTGAAGAATTTTAAAAAAATTACATTCAGCTCCCTTGAAGTCTATTTAAACATTACACACCTCTTCTAATTTTTAAAAATTACTCACTTTTTTATTTAAATTAAGGTTATTAGTTCAAATAAGAAAATAAAAAAAATCAAAGTTAATTCATATTTTATCAATCATATACACATTTATTCTTAATCACCTAAAATGCTTTGTTTTCTTTATTAAAATTTTTATTGTTCTTTAATTTTAAAAAATAATAGTTTCTCTGCTTATTTTTTGAAATTATTTTCTGAAATTGATATATTTTTTAAATCAAAACATACATAATATTTACAATATAATTTGGAAGTTAAAATTAAATAAAATATCAAATTGTATTCAATTATTGATAATTATATTAATAATTTATTCTCTTTTAATAAAGTATAAATAATATTATTTTATATAAAAAATTATATGTATTATTTAAATAAATAAATAAATAATATTCATTTAAAAATTAAAGAAGAGATGTGTTTCATTAAAAAAAATCTCATGATTTGAATTTTTTTAAAAAAATAAATAAATCAATGCAACAAACTGGTACTTGTTGATATTCTACAAAAAGAAGTGAATCATTAGGAAGAAAACCTGCTAGTCTGCTACTGTCACGAGTATGAAGTAATCATGCATTTATTTGATGGTACGTATATACAAAGGAGTAAGAAGCATTGATAAATGGACTCTGAAAATCTGAAACTGAAAGGGTGTGGTGTGGGGGGAATTATTGGATGGTGGTAGTGTTAGGTTAATATGATCTGAATTTTAAAAATTTATTTAGGACAACACAAGGCTGCTCCTACAGTCTTGTTCAGATGCTCACCAGTCATCAACCCAACGAGCTAACCACTCACCAGTCAAGTACCACTCTAAACTTTTTAACCAAGAATGGGCATCTTATCAACACTTTCGTCATTGCCTTCTTCAATAGTCTATGTGCCTATAATTATTGTTACATGTAATTATTATAAAGTTTGAACCTCGAGAGACTTAAGTACTATTAAGAAAGTGAACTTGTTTTAATTTAATTTTACACAAGATTTATAAGATGAGCCGTTTTATTTGGAGGGTAATCTTGATTATGAACCATCTAGCATGGAGACAATGCATCCATGGGTGGTGGACCCGTTATCGTGGGTCAGAAAATGAGTGGTACTAAAAGTGATGAAGCCCTTAAAACCGTCAGATATGACAGATAAGATGTCACAAAAGTTGATGCTAAGGACCACCATATGTTTTTCACATTCTACGGAACTAAAAAAGGTACCAAACCTATCACTTACTTACAACTTAACACTATTCAGTAAGGAAGGTAATGGGGCGGTTCATATACGAATTTTATGATATCCGTTCTTGTCTTTGAGAGTTAAATTTATTCTCGTCTTCGTACTCGTATTTATTGGGTATATGATTTTTATCTCTATTCCCGTTCTCGTGGGTATTGGATATATCCGTACCATTTTTTTTTATTTATAAAAAATATAATATTTTTAAATTATTTTTTTATTATATTATAATTATAATTAGATTATTTCTCTATCTTACATTATAATAAATAATTATAAATTTTTTTAATATAATTAAATTAAAAGTAGGTATTAAATTAAAAATAAGAACGGGACGGGTACGAGTACAGGTACGGATACGGGACGGTTAAGTACATACCTGTATCCGTACCCATACTCAATTTAATATATCGGATTTTACCTATATTCATACTTATATGCGGTCAAACCGGATATTCTCCGTCAAAGTCAAGACATGTTCGAATATTACTTGCAAATACGAGTATATTTGTCATTCCTACTTAACAGAACCTTAATCATGTCATCATATAATATTGTAGAACTTGAATTTTTGCCTCCTTTCACGCCACTTTTGCCACATGAACACATGATAATATCATCCTTCGGCAACACGTGAGTGAGTCACGTGATCTGCTGATGTGTCATCACCACATTGGTTAATGCTGGCTAAGTTAAAGGTGATGTGGCAGCCGCACCAAATGAAATGAGTGCTCTGGTTTCTCTTTGATAAATTAACCAGTATTTGATATTATTTTATTTTTTTCAACCCTTCTATCATTGAGTAAAGTTTTGCATTAGATTCACTAAAGAAACTAGGACCAGCGTTAATTAATGGCATCACTGTAAAATTTAACCAAAAAGTAATAGAAGAGTGTCCATCACCGCAACTACCGGTAACTGTTCTAACTTCAGAATTTCAAGTTTTTAGAAACTTAAATTTAGTAAAATTTCAGAACTAAAGCTTCTTTGATGCCAACTTAATATTTAAATACCAGCAATCTTAAAAAAAGAAGTGTAAAAATAACGTGATAAGAATGTTTCTCTTTTCTTGATGGATATTTATTTAACTCCGCCTTAGCTGCATGTTCCTTACTTCCTTTGAAACCTTTTGCAACCAACAAACACACACACACACACTCTTAGATCAACTTTCCTCGTCCCTTGTTTTCCACTCCACAGTGGTACCAACCAAATGGCAGCTAAACCAACTGATGAAGCTCATCAAGGAGAAACCCTCAAGTACCAGGTCATCAACTAAACCACTGTTTATACATTTTCTCTTTTAAATTTTGCATGTGTATACAACTATACATAATATATATGTATATATTACAGACGTGGGTTTTGAAAGTATTGATCCACTGTGAAGGTTGTAAAAAGAGAGTCAGGAAAATTCTTCAGGGAATTGATGGTATGATATCTCTTTATCTCATTTTATATGAATATATCTCAACTTCAAACTTTGTAGGTCATGCTAATATTATTCTTTGTATACTTATTATGTTAACGTAGAAGTAACTGATGATATGTTAGTCCATGTTAGGAACAAAAGGAAAAAAAATACTAATTAATCACGTGTTTGTCATGGTTGTATAGGGGTTTATAGAACAGAGGTTGATTCTCTGCAGCACAAGGTTACTGTCACTGGTAACGTGGACGCTGAGACTCTCATCAAGAGGCTTTCAAGATCAGGGAAACTAGTGGAGCTTTGGCCAGAAAAGCCTGTTGAAAATAAGAAAGATAATAGTAATAATAAGAAGTCTGGAAAGTCCAACAAGGGTGGTGATGTTAATAAGGAGAAGGAAAACCAAAAGAATAGTGAACAAGTTGCTGATGATGGTGGTGGTTCCAATGAGGGTTGTAAAGACGATGCTGGTGAAGATTCTGACAAAGGGGGTCATAGTGATGAGTGTGAGGAGGGAGGTGGTGGTGGTGAAGGTGGCAAAAAGAAGAAAAAGAAGAAGAAGAAGAAGAACAAAGGGGAAAACGGTGGTTCTGGTACTGGTTCTAGTTCTGCTCCTAATAATAATGGAGGGGGAGAAGAAAGTAGTAAAGTTGATGCAATTGTCCCTTCAAATTTGGCATCTTCCGTGGCTCACAAGGATCTTATAAGCCCTCCAATTCAACATGCATACCCATATCCACATCCACATATGTATTATTCGCCACCACCAGCATATGGATTAAGCTATAACACAGCATATCCTATATCAAGTGCTTCATATTATGTTGGTGCCCCCATCATGCCCATGCATGCTTACACTACTGCATACTCTAGAATGCCACCTCCTCCTCCACCGTCTGATCCGATCATGCACTATGGCGATGATGAGGAAGAGTACTACGAAGGTGGTGGATATTGCTCCATTATGTGACAAACCAAACCACAAAGTGGAGGATGATGTACTAGCTAGCTAGTGTTTGTTATTTATTACTTATTATTAGTGCTAATACTCAAGGGAAGTGGGGGTTTAAATTTTGTAATATGCTGAACCAAACTTGAAATGAACTAGTTGAAAATGATGGGGGACAAAAAAAAGAAAGAAAGAAAAAAGAGGGTATGTGCAGGTATGGAGGGTCTTCAATGCTTTGTCTTTGTTTAGCATGATCTCTCTCTTTTTTTATTTCACTTGTTAAGAGTACAGCTTTTGGAGTTTGCTAAAGAAAGGCCAATAGCCTTGTAATGCTCTGCAATCTGTAGGTCCGAAAATCTTCCTTTCCTTTCTCTATCTTATGTGTAAAGTATCTTTTTGTGTACCACCTTTTCTTTTTCTCTTTTCATATTTGATTGCTAGTTACAAGCTGGTAAATGGTTTTGCTAATTTTCATGCATGCAAATCAGCTTAGCTAGCCAACTAGCTAGTCTTCGCAGTTACTTCCTATGGGAAACGTTTGATCCTCTTTAGCAAATTAAAGCTATCCACTAGTTGGTTAAATTAAATGTATAGATCTATATATTTTGCTTTTATCATATTTTTTTGGGGTTATATATATGGTAGCTAGTTGAATCCCACTTTGAAGTGATTTAAAGCTTGTTTGTGTTGGTGCTACCTTTTGCTTCTTAGTGAATCTAAGGAACATGTCAGCACTCAGCACTCAGCACCCGGATCAATAAAAATAAAAGGGCAAACTTCAATTTCTGGCTTTTGTATTTCTCTTTTTTGCTAGCTTTGGCTAAAACCCATGTTTTTGGTTTCACTTGTGCAGGTTTTGCTTTTGTTGAAGAGATCAGAATAGGCTTGCTTGAACAAAGAAACAATATTGTTCAAGTGGGCGATTATTGTTCAATGAGTTAATGAGAAGAAAAAGTATCAAATAAAGAAAAGTGGCTGCTATTGCTCGGGTGCCCTCTTATTTGAAGGGGTTTTGGTGCCCCTCAGTACAAAAGTTGGGTTTTTAGGGGCAATAAGGTAAATTGATAGCCTTTGGTCAATTTATCAATTTACCTTATTGCCCCTAAAAACCCAACTTTTGTACTGAAGGGCACCAAAACCCCTTCAAATAAGAGCAATCCCCAAAAGTGGCACCTTATGATCTCAATCATCAATTCATTAGTTTCAACTAGTGCTAACTGGACCCATATGAGTTACAGCATGCAATATAAGTATAGTTTTCATTTGGCAAATTGCGATCACATTTGCTGAACATCAGATAAAATGCATTTTTTTACACGTATTCCCTTAATTTTTATAATAATATTATAAATTAAGAAAAGTTTTTGTTAACAAAAATAAGGTAATTATTATTTCAATATTATTAACCAAAGTACATGTTCTAAGGAGTAACATAAGCGAACACATTAAACCCGAGACTTCTAATCAGTTGCTTTAAGAAGCCAACAAGATTTGATTCTGAATATTCAAGCTAATATAAACCAAAAGTAGAATATTCACATGATTATACATACCTCTTCTTTCATACTCATTTCATAGTCATATCATAAAAGTATGTGTGTTTGTTTATATAACATATCTTCTGTCAAGAATGACACCATATCTTCAACACTAAGCATCTAAATTACATGTCCCCAGCAAGTTAATTAATTTCTCTTTAGTTTGGCCCACACCCCTTTCAATGTTCAATCTTTCCTTTCCAGAAAGCCCCACGGAGTTAATTATGACTGTATGACTAATTATGAATATTAAAGAGCAAATGTACGAGAGTTCACTCTGATAGATTTTCTTTTGTTAATGGTGGCTCTGTTTGGATTAATTATTACAACAAAGTGACATATCCAAAAAAGTCCTAGTCTGCAGACTTTAAGTGCAAAGCCAAAGATAGAGTGACATGATTTCTGGGGTCCCTCGTGCCTGACTATGATTTATTTGGAACCTAGAAAATTCTCATTTCTATTTACAATTTTTTTAATACTTTGTTTTTTAACACTACTCTCAAACGTTATATATATAAGTGTGAAAATAGTAAGAAAATTAAAAAGAGTTTTAGCTTGATAATAACAACGCATTTAGGACAAATGACTAGAATTTGGGTGAAGTAATTAGTATAATAGTTTATTATTAAGACAAATAGTCAAATTAAATATATATCTAATAAATTTATTACATAAAAATTATATTATAAATTTAGTTGTAAACTTTATATTAACATCAATTAAAAATTATGTGAAACATACATTTATTAGACTAAATTATACTTTTACTTCTTTTTCTATCAATTTATAAATTTAATTTCTCTATTTTAAAATAGAGATATTTAATCTCTTATTTTTAAAGTTATAAAATTTTAACTTTTTCATAAAATTAATATTTATTAATAATTAAATTTTAATGTTAAGTTATGTAATATATAACGACATGACATTTAAAAATGAAAAAATTTTAAAAAAATATTAATGAAATTTATTAATAAAATAAATATTAATCATTTGTTAAAATAGATATAAATTAAGTTCTTTTAACAAGTGATTAATATTAATAAAATAAATACTAATCACTTGTTACATATTAATAAAATTAAAGTGATCAAAAATACAATTTTAACCTATTAATTAATAATTATGTTGATAACTAATTTTTGTCACAAAATTTAATTGATCACTTTTAGGGAGATGTTCTCTCTTGATTATATTTTTTTGGTTCACATTGAATATGAATATTATTTTAAAAAAATAAAGTTTAGTTTCATTCAATTTAAAGACTTGCTGATGAATTAGAAGAAATCTCGAGAATGTATAAATTTAAATAAAGATAAGCTCCTACAATCACTCCATTAAATGATAGAAAATTATTACCTTTGTTCTTTTAAGGTTTCAGAAAAGCCTTGTTATTGTGGGAAAAATGATTGCTACATGGTCTCCTGTGAAAACGTGAAAGGACACAATCACCCCCTTGCTTTTAATTAAATATTTTCAAAATTTTAAAATCATAAATGACAGATGTAAGATAAAAGCTATTCACTTAATATGCAATGCTGAGATAATAATGACTTCTTAATTGGGGGTTGGTCGCTATTTGTTTTCCACGCTTCTTTCTACTTCATGAATAGGAGTTTATCATAATTGTTGGTTCAACATTTTTCAGCTTAAATAAAAGAAAATAGATGGTCGAAAGGACAACATGAAGATAGTGCTGTGAAATAAAAACATAAAAGAAGGAAAAAGTTACGTGAATTGGGATGGGATATGTCGGACAATTTATTGGATAGAAAAACATCAAAAACCTTAGATAATTAATCTATGTGAATTCAAATTTAAAAAAAAAAAAAAAAAAAAAAAAAAAAAAAAAAAAAAAAAAAAGGTAAACTTGTTTTGGTTAAGAAAATTAGTAAACACCATAGTCTTGTATCTATCTAATGAATATTCACCAGCACTTTTAAATATTCCACACGAATATTTGATCAGTTAATAAATATATGTGTGATATTTTCTGATTATAATTTTCGTAGGATATGTGGCTTCTACTCTACATCTCCAGTAACATGAGATTAATTTTTTTTCTATGTAGATTTTTCGTTAAAATAATATAAGAATTTCTTAATTAGCCAAAGTGTTTGGTCGAAATATGAAAAATAATGTAATATATAGTTAAAAAATTATTATTGATGAACTAATTGATGTTTCGAAAAACTAAAGAGTTAAATTATACAATTATATTTTTAAAATATTTTGTATGAAAAGAAATCAGTAAATAAAAAATGTTCTGACTCTTCGTGTAGGGGGTAGTAGAAAATTAACTAGAAATTTGTTTAGCAGCTCAGTATGGGATCCGGATTCTCAACTTTGGGGAAAGAAAGTTACGATAACTTAATACATCTTAACCGTTAAATGTATAAAAATAAATCAGATTGTAATACGTGTATAATATATATTTTAACTTAAATGTACACGTGTCACAATCTAATTATTTATTACAAATCTAACGGTTGAAATGTATTAAGTTACCCTAACTTTCTCTCCACAAAGTCACGGATCCATTTCCTTCTATATGTTCCTCTTGGGCAGAAGAAAACAGAGAAAAAAAAAGTGTATTAAATGCAATAATGGCGTAAGTTGGTGCTTCCCAAAGAGCTTGAGATGCTGACAGTTCAACCAAATCCACAGTGAGGGAAAGTAAATCGTTTAGGATGGAAATATATATAAGCAAGGATGTTTATAATTAATATGTGAAACTAAAACGAATTAACATAACACTAAATAAATCATCCTAAACTAATATCATTAAAATTAAAATTCATTGGTTTCAAAATCAAAATATAACTCAAATTTCCACTGTATCAACTTTTAATGTTAGGCACACTGCTGCTAGATGTAAACTATATTAAAGTCAAGTATAATAAATTAAAATCATTTGACATTATTTTTTTTATAAAATACGTGAGTTTTTGAAATGTAACTAAACAGCATTTAAATGAGCTTCAAAGTCGATAAGTAATTTGTTTCACAAACTAATTTTCTATACCTACCATTCCAATGTAAATGCAATCATTAAAAAAAACAAGTTGTTTTAACATGATTTTTTTTTTGTTAACTTTTATAATAATAATTTCATAAATCTTACTTAAACAGTTAAACATGATTTTCTATTGATTAATAAATAAAAATCCTTACGATGATAACGTACAAAAAGTTAATTTATTTATTAAAATTTCATTGGACCGGTTGAAATTAAGCTTTAATCACATTATAAATGAAAAAAAAATATTAGTGAGGAAAAACTACTAGATGTAACAAGTCGATTTTTTTAATAAAAATTAATGATTAATAAAGTCGATTTCACACTCATAATCTAGATAAAAAAATATATTATTTATTTATGTCATAACCTTCGTTTTATCTCCCAATTTTTGCGCTATTTTTTTTTTTTAAAAAAAAAGCAGAAAGGACCATAGGCCTCCCTCGGGATACTAATCCAGTAGGCCTTGGGCCGTAATTTTGTAAGGTTGATTATAGAGAACAATTTTGTTGAGAGCACTTTTGCAATTAACCAATAAAAGGTCTTTCTTAGGGAAAAGAAATGTAAATATATTAAAATTATAAAAATTAATCATATTATTTATTTTTATAATACTTTTTTATGATGTAAATATACATGTATAATAGGTAGTTACTATGAGTAAAATAGTAAAAATAAAATGTACACTTTACTAAAAATAATTTGAGTCAGATAATAATATCATTACATGTAGTAGAGATTTTCATAGAATGTTTAATGCAAGTGTATACCTAAAACTTAAACATAAAATCATTGATTAAATTGAAACAATACTTCATCAATTGATTCATGTATTCGATAATATCATTT